CTGTATAAACTGTATTTCAGGGTTATCACATACTAGTTGATGAGGGAACCTGCCTTACAAAAGAATTCCAGCTAATAAATGTAGAAGGAATGATAGGATAGTGGGCGAAAGGAAGAATTTTTACAATCCCTAATGAAATAATGTATTCAGGCAATGATCATTGATGGATAAAATCGTTAGGTGAAAAAAATTGATGGGGGGATTTCACAATAGAGGGTCAGGATACTATTCCCTGACGCTACTGTTCAATCTTAGTATTATTCAAAGTGGAGCAACCAGACCACATGTGCCTCCTAAGATGATGCTACATGAAGTACACAGCCCCGTGGAAGCAGAAATCTTGCCAAAAGAGTAGAATATGAATCCAATCAAGCTTCTAGATCTAATTTCCAGTTTCTAGTAATTTGGGTGACAGAGAAAAAGGTTAAATAATAAGAATCAGCCAAATGTAGCATGTGGAACATTCTGTTGCCCAAGTGGTTTAATTTCTTCAACAAGTAAATGACTTGAAAAAAGAGGGAATATTCTAGGTAAAAGAGGCTTAAGAGACTCAGTAACCAAATGAAATGCATGCACTACTTTGGATCCGATGCAAATAAACCAGCTATAAAAAGAAAATTTTGAGAAATTTGAATATGGAATGAGTAATAAATAATATCAAATAATTATCATTCATAATGTTAGGTGTGACAATAGCATTATGGTTTTGTAGGAAAATGTGCATATTAAGAGACACATAATGAAGCATGTACAGGTGGATACGATACAACGTGTATTTCTAATAACTTCAGAATAAAAGGAGAAAGGGATAAATGCATCTGGGTGTGTTCACTGTACTGTTCTCTTTACTTTTTTATATATTTGAAATTTTTATAAGTGAAAGTTATTTTTTAAAAATAAAAAAAATGAAGAGAGTCTTAAGAAACAAAATTTCCCTCTTCCCCACTATTTACATATGAAAGCTTTCAGATTAACAGTATATTCCTTTTTTACTTAATTACTTCTTCACTCCTACTTTTAACTCGATATGCATTTAACATACAATTTATTTTTCAAAGCTGGTCTAAATCTTTCCAACGTTTGGGTGACCCATCTTTCTAAAACCTCACCTACCAGATTGAGAAAGACAATGTCCAGGGGGAGGGCTGGTCTAGGGCGCAGCCTTCATCTCCGGACAAAGATTCTTTCCTGATCCCTTGTTCCTATTCTTCTCAACTGGGTAAGAAGGAAATTTCAAGGTCTTCTCACTCTTCTTCCCTGGAGAGAAGAGCTGGCTACTGGCCTGCTACCTCCCCCTTGGCCCCTTTAGCTCTTCAGAATTAGGTGCCTCTCGAACAGAAGAGATCCCCTTCAACCTGAGAGACAGAAAAGGAGGGAAAGCCAAGTAGAGGAAGAAAGGGGCAGGTAAAATGGTGTCAGCATTGCCAGTCCTCATTGGATGTTCCCTTCATTTCCACTCCCTGAGGGAGAAGTCTCATGATCCTCAAAAAAAATACAAGGGAGCAAGCATCAGCTTTCTTAGCATGCCAGGGTTGAATACACTTTCTCCTCTTCTAGTTTTTGCCTACCCATGTTAGATTTGCTGACAGGTTAGCCAACTTACTGAGTTTACCTTTTTCACCACATTTCAACCTGTTTTATATGTCAATAACGGCTTCCAAGCACTCCCTACGTTGTTTCCATTTTTTCAGAGCTGGTTATCCTTTCCTCAGGGAGTTAGGAGAAATGGAATGTGGAGATGATAACAGGAACTCCAAGAAAAAGAGATAAAGGGGCTTTCTGAAAGCTTTTCTGAGTATACGTGCATATACATTATTTCCTATGAAAAAAGAACAATAAAAATAAACATATTTTGTTAAGGAAATGTCATGTAGCTGTTGCCAATCTTCCCCTATTTTGCATGTGAACCACCGCCACAGCATGGCCACTGATAGATAAGTGGTGTAGGTCCTCACCCGGGAACCAAACCCAGGCAACCGAAGCAGAGTATGCGAACTTAACCACTAGGCCACCAGGGCTGGCCCTGCATTTTCCTTTTAAAGAAGTGTTTAATTTCTTTCTCATACAGTCAAGTCACAACTCAGCAAATGTGTGGAAACAAATTTCCAGATACTTTACTTCCATGAACTTAAACCTGATAGTCAAAGGGACTCTTGTACATTTCATCTCTGCATGTGGTCAAGTATCAAGAGCTCCTAGGCAATACTGACCTAAAAGATTCCACGTGACACAGCAAAGTTATGCAGGCAGAAAGACAGTAAACTACCCGAAATAAACATCCAATCTAGCTGGCCTTTCTTGTTTGTGTCAACATTAAAAATGGATATCCTGAGGCTTGAAATCTGCTTAAGTAACAGGCACCACTCATTTGTAGTTAAATGGGTTGTTGGGATAAGAACCGCTATTTTGGGATTGAGTCAGTTTCCCCCTATCTGTAAACTACTATCAAACAATTAATGTTGAGTTTAGCTAATGCAGATACAGAAGTGCTATGCCCATAAGGATCCTATGATTTGAAATGCTTTCATAGTTAAAGCTCTTTATTACCATATAAAAGTTTGATTCAATAACAAATTAACAGGAACATCATTGTAAGTTGTTCAGTTCCCAACAACACAGAGTGATTGATGATGGAGAAAGAGAAGTTTTGTGATTAACTACAACCCACTGTGCTTGAAGGTACATCTGATTCTGATGGCGAGATTTCTCAATGTCAAAAGTTCTGCACATGTAGATAGCACACCAAGTGCTCACTGAATCACTCTGGTGTCCGGAATGAGTAGAGGCTAGTAAATGAAATCTAAATCTCCACAGGTGTCATTCAAAAAGAAGTCAACTTAATGAATCGGTTTTATCTCCCCAGGACCAAAAGAGTCTGATCAGGCAATGGAACTCACAGGTCATGAAATATCAGACTCTGAGATGACAACCTCAAGGTCTGGAAAGAATGAATCAGACCTTATCACTATGCAAATCACATTTCCAAACTAAGAACAATGGACCATCTGATTTGGAAAAGTCTTCCTTCTTCAAAGGAAAGCCTGGCAGGTGTTGGCTTAATTTCAGGAAGACATCACTTTCAAAGCACACATAGTTTATACAAAATAATAAAATGCCAAAAGAGAACAAAGACTAACAGAGTGTTATGTGTAAAGTACATGCAGATGACTTCATGTAAGAAGAGGATAAGAAATTGATGCTTAAAGTAGGAATTTTGACCTGAAAAGCCTGTAGGTGCCAGGCAGGTAACATAAATCTGTAAGGCTGGTCAGGTTAAATCTTAGGTAATGATAAAGACTAGCAAACTTCAATCCCTGGAATAGTAGTAAGACCAGATTTTTTTTTTTTTAATTGATGTTTTAACAGTTTTTAACATTGTGAAATTTTGGGTTGTACATTTTTCTTTGTCCATCACCAAATATATGACTCCCTTCACCCCTTGTGCCCACCCCCCACCCCCATTGCCCCTGGTAACCACAATACAGTTTTCTCTGTCCATGTGTTGGTTTACATTCCACATATGAGTGAGATCATATAGTGTTTGTCTTTCTCCTTCTGGCTTACTTCACTTAACATAATACCCTCCAGGCCCATCCATGTTGTTGCAAATGGGACGATTTTAAGACCAGATTTTTAGGGGCCAGCCCCGTGCCTTAGCAGTTAAGTGTGCACTCCGCTGCTGGCGGCCCGGGTTCGGATCCCGGGCGCGTACCAATGCACCGCTTCTCCAGTCATGCTGAGGCTGCGTCCCACATACAGCAACTAGAAGGCTGTGCAACTATGACATACAACTATCTACTGGGGCTTTGGGGGGAAAAAAAAAAAAATAAAAAAAAAAAAAAAAAAAAAAAGACCAGATTTTTAACCTTCCAAAAGAAGTTAGGTATCTGATTTTTTATGTGAAGTTTCCCGATTGTCCAGTGTTGGCAATTAACTCAATTTAAAAAAAGAAAGTTTTTACAGGTTAAAAAAAATATAGTCTAAAATTTGACCTGTGGGTCACCAGTTTGCAAACTGTGCTTTAAAATGTAATTTTAAATAATGTAGTAATAAGCTGAAAGCTTCTCACATAACAATGATTACATGAAATTATTGAGCCTTGATTTCTGCTCCACCAAGAGGAACCAGTCCATGCACGGAAAGGGTAGGAGTGGTATCAGGACGCCTGAGGAGCATTTCCCCAATTACAGGTATCTAAACTATGACCACTATCGCCACCATCACCACCACCGCCGCCACCCCTGTGCCCCAGGGAAAAGAAGAGTCTTTGAGTAGAGGATATACAGCTTGCAAAAGCTTCCCAAGAACTTTAATGGCACACCCTCCGACTCTGGGGATCACTGACCTCAAGAAAGCAGAAAGCTTCATATAACCAAGAGGGATGTGTCTAAACTGTGAAGACCAAACTCACTGGGCATAATATGTTGAATAGCATACGTGAAGTGGCTCTGAAAATAATAATTGCAAATATCAGATGACAAAGAGACCACAGTAAGTACTGTTGGTATCATATCAGATATTTCAGTCTCATGGGCAAAAAGAAAACAACCGTCTACTTGTTTACTATGAAAGATTACAAAAACTGTATTCATTTTAAGAATGTGTATATGCATCCACATGTGAGTTTGTGTGTATATGCATATATAACGAAAGCAAGGATAACATCTGGGCCATTTTTAGACTTAGGTCTGCAGGTTCATTACTCAAGGGAAGGGGAGTGTCTTATTTCCACATGATGCCAGACTGCAGAGAGAAAAAGGTTAACAAATACTTTGGTATGTTTTTCTACTTCCTAAGCTTTAAAAAATTACAGCAGAACTTTTTTATGAAGATGTCTAAACAAAACCAAGAGTGCTACATATATTTTTAGATATACATATAAAAGATATAAAGAAACACCTTCCTGTGATTTGGTAATATCTCATTAATCTGTTGCTGTTATTAAGCACTGCCTAATCTACCTCTGCTTTTGATTGCAAGCTGGCGTTCTCCTAACTCACCTTTGTAACTTGAAGTCAAAGTCTTCCAGGTCGGCTTTAAGGTAAAAGCTGTTTGAAGTGGTTTATCCTCAGATGTCTGCAGCGTTTTTCCTAGGAACTCAGTCTGTCTACTGATCCCGCTGGGGTGATCTGGTAAATCACAGGAGTGGCTCTTTGATTTCCTTCTCTTGCTGTTTTGCAGCAAGGGGCAGATGCTGAAAAAGAGATTACAGTCATATAGGACATCTCCACAGAACTTTCACGAGCCTCTAGGCGGACTGCCAATGGCCACGCAGAAAAGTCTTTCCAAGTTATTTCTTGAGGAGAAAGTTCACAAGGGACCATGTCTCAACTTTTCATCTCCTTTGCTCAACCGTATGTAGTCTCAAAGACGCAACCGCTGAACTCCTCAGCAACCAGTAACATTCATAATTTACCTCTTACCCAGAGTTTGGAATAAGAAAACTTTTAATTTATATAGCAAATATTTTCTAAAGGGGATAAAGTATATTTTCCAGAAATATTTTTAACCCTTCAGTTAAATGTAAACCTTAAACAGGGTTTTTAAAAACAGTAAGTATGAAGTTGTTTCATCACATATGCACATAAATGTATAATCCTAGTACTCTCATAAAGACCCATGAATAGGCCCTAATTTGCCTTCACGGAACAGAATTGTTGCCAAACTCCTTCAACGATCCTCTCGCAGAAAGAGCTGACTATACTACCAAAGAATAAAGAGTTTTCAACTTGGCATAATTTCTCAGAAGGCAAAGAAACAGTATTTCATGAGAAGATAAAATATGTTCACTTAACGGAAGAAAAAAGAAAATCTGACAAGTAATCCAAAATAGAAGCTAAATTAGTTACTCTCTTGACCCCAAAACTTGACAGCAGTTTTTCCTTCAAGCCATAAACCTCTCCAGCAGACTCGTTTATTTCATAAGCCTTAAAAATTATTCCCCAGGTTTGACTATGTTTCAAGTCTATTCTTTCACTTTGTCTTAGTTTTTCTCTTTTTACTTATGGAGAAGGAAGGGGGGGGGAAGCACACACACATATTCTTTAAAGATTTTTTATTTATTCAGTTTTTTCCCCCCAAAGCCCCAGTAGATAGTTGTACGTCATAGGTTCACATCCTTCTAGTTGCTGTATGTGGGACTCGGCCTCGCGTTGGACGGAGAAGTGGTGCCTCGGGGCGCTCCAGGGATCCGAACCCGGGCCGCCAGCATCAGAGCGCGCGCACTTAACCACTAAGCCACGGGGCCGGCCCCACACACACATATTCTGAAAGACTATGACTTAATGAAAGTGCAAAAGATTTATGTCTCCCCAGCATCCTATGCTGTGATTGCTCCTTTAAGTCCCATTTTTCTGCAAAAACAAGTATTTGTTCTAAACCCTCCTCCACCTCTACAAAAAGTTTTTTTTTTTTAGTATCTATTATGTCGTAAGACAATTGCATGCATCTTGCAGGTCCTAAATAAAATGTAATTGATGATTATGATGATGACATAGAAGAACTAAGGTTAGAGTCCATCAAGATTATTTTGGTATGCTCAGCATTATATCTGTTTATTTTCTGCAAACACTCCTCAATCTATGCTCTTTAATCTCATATAATTGTAGGCTGACTAAACGTGAATGGTCAGCTACAGAAACTCCCCTACCCACCTTTTCCTCGCTCTTTCCTATGATGGATTCTGCCAAGCTTTAGAAAAGGAGAGAACACTGAAAAAGGAAGAAGAAAGAAGAAAAATATGGCAAAGAGCCCCCTGTACTATACTCAGTTCTTTTTGCCCACTCCCATGCCATTCCTCTTCCCTAATCTTATTTTCCATAACTTCTTACCATCCTATCACGGCAAGTGGGAAGGTAAAGAAGCAAAGAGGACCACAGGGTAAGATTAAGGTTTCCTCTCCATCTCTATTTCCCCCAGTCCAGCAGCAGAGGACAAGACAGGGTGAATCTTGTTAACCAAACCTAAGAATGCCCCCTCCCTCCCGCATCACACACAGCGGTGTGTCCCCGTCTCCAGCCTGTATAAATCAGACCTTGACCTGAGGAGCATTTTTCTACTTCACTCTTCTCTCTCCCCATAGTCTTTGTCCACACATCCTTCAAAATCCAGCTCATAACAACTCCCAACTCCTTCCCTGATCTTCCCAGCTAGAAAGAAGGAGCTTCGCATTGCACCTGGTACTCTCAGTCAATCCTACTCATGTGATGAGGTCCTGGTCTTACATGCTACATCTCTTGTCTCCCCTACCAGACTGTGTCAATCAACTCTGGGAAGCAGGGACCAGACCTTAGTTTCCTGCACACAGTAAGTGTGAGAGTTAAGAAGTGAAATTTATACAAAGTTTCTATTTATATGTACTTAATAAGAAACAAATCTATTTTTTTAAACCTCTTTTTTTTTTTAAAGATTTTATTTATTTATTTATTTTCCCCCCAAAGCCCCAGTAGATAGTTGTATGTCATAGCCGCACATCCTTCTAGTTGCTGTATGTGGGACGTGGTCTCAGCATGGCCGGAGAAGCGGTGCGCCAGTGCGCTCCCGGGATCTGAACCCGGGCCGCCAGCAGCGGAGCGCACGCACTTAACCACTAAGCCACAGGGCCGGCCCAGAAACAAATCTATTAACCTCCATCTTGCACAAAAGTGTATTTTCACAGTGTGTACGCAATGTCCAGGAATAAGGAAGGGTTCTGGCTTGTTTGAGACTGTAATTAACATTCACATAGATGTTCTGTGCAACTTTCAAAAAGACAATCAGCACAATAAAGTGTAGTGCCATCTATAACCTTCAGGGCGCTAACCACTCTGCCTTATAAACGACCACTCTGTCAATACATGGTTCAGATACACCCAATCACCTCTGGTAGTTATTCAAGCCAGAAATATTAGGAATATTTGTTTTAATTCAGCTTCAAAAACTTGATTAGGATAGAAAGATTTATATTGTCACATTCAAATTCCAAATTTCAAGGTGACCAATATAAAACATTAAATTTTATTCAAAAACCATGAAGTTAACCAAGTGGCAAGTAAACTTTATTTTAGTCAAGAACCGTACAGGGTCTTGTTTTACCTTGCACATATACTGCATGTGGGGCAGAAGTCCAAAGGTGCCAAACTTACAAAGTTCAAGTCTAATTACTCCTTGTAACAACACACATTAAAGTTTAATTCTTCAAGCTGTCATTAAGAAGTAAACTCAGAGAAGAGAAGAGGTTGTTTCTTTTTAAAACTATAACCAAAATGGATGCTTTTTAAAAAAAAATCTAGTTTTAACAACACACAAAAAAGGAATCATGTTCTAATTTAATGATGTCCTCTGCAGACCAAAAAAGCTCCCGACACCCTCCTCCTAAGCTATTAATAAACTAAAAGTTGTCAAGGTTGGAAAGGTTGATTCGAACAAAGTCTCCTGTACCAACTAGTACTTGGGTAGGAGTCTCTGAAAAATCTCATTCAGGGGAGGTTAGTGATTTGGCAAAGATTCCTTCTGAATGGCTCATTCAGGAAGCAAATGATCCATTAAAATTGCAACAGATTTTTTCCTGTAAGTCATGTGACTGATCCTCCCACAGCCTGAATTTTGCCCATTATACACCATGTTCTTGTCCAGCACACTCCCCACAGAGTCCACTCAGTCCTTGTTCAAGCCCCTCAGAGCCCATGATATATTCTACCAAAGACTAGACTGTCTTGTGTGGCTACTAAGTTAATGCATAGAATGCAAAATGGAGACAAGATAAAGCAAGCTCCATCACTCTGTAAAATACTAAAGGAAAGATTCTTAAAATAGTGAAGATAGTTAAGACAACCAAAATAACCCAAAGAGTATTTACACAATGTTAGCCGTCTACATAGCAAAGTCCATTTCACAACAAAAATAAGAGATGAGACACTTGTGACTATTTTCCAGATGGTATGTGGCCCACGGTTTTGATTCAATGCCCACATCATTTCCACAAAGAAGGATTGGTCTTAATTTAGGGTTAAACATCCTAAATTGCTTTCCCAGAAAACTGTAGCCTAAGACAGAGTACCAGACTTTTCTTCATTATCTTGTTTACTGTGTCTACTTTCTCCACTAACCACCTTAGTTGGTGAAAAGATAATTATTTTGCTTTTTTCACTGGCAGCAATGCTTAGACAAGAAATTGATTTTTCTCTTCCTACCCGTGATAATCCCAAGTGCAATGAGGATTTCTATACCGTGTCTAAGTCTCTGGAGAATTTGGTTTTAGTGGTATAACCCAATAGGGTTTATGGAAACAGGCTGTCCTGGGGTAACTTCCTGAAGATGAAAAACTCCAGCCACTTTCACCTAGCAACTACTGTGGCTTTCTTATCAATAACTGAAAAGCAGACTTTTAACTTTGAAATTTATCCAATCTCGTTAGTGCTACCGTATATCAAAGAAGTTGAAATTCCCTAGCTGAAATAACATATCAGAGTTTTCATACCTGCCATTAAGTATTGATTGACTCGTTCAGTCAACGAGTCAATTGTGTCGTTATTATACACAAACATCAAAAATCAGACACTAAAGAAGATCTAGAAAGGTAACAGTCAACAAAAACAAAGCTCTTTCCCTTAGGAAATTTTGAGTTTAGCTAACAAGGAAAGATATGTGAGTAATCTCTTTAAGTTACAAAAGCAGAAAATGTGCTATGGATGTTCATGGCAAGAAAATATGAATTCCAGCTTGGAGTTTGCGGGTTGGGTGGGAAGCAGATCAGAGGAAGTTGCTCAAAAAGGGAGGCATTTGAAAGATGAGTAGATTCAGGCAAGAAATGGACAAACAGAGATGGATAAAGGACATTTCAAACAGTGAGGACAAGTGTATGAAAATCAAGAGATGGGAAAGTGTAGACTGTAGTTCCAGTACTCAGAGCTTATGGGACAAAAAAGGAGAGTGGGGGAAGGAAATGCAGAAAGAAGCTTTGGAATAGTGTGGAAGGTCTTAAATGCTGGTGCAAGATCAGACTTCATGGGTGGTCATATATTATGCTTCAGGGAGGCAGATGCAGGAGAAAGCATGGAGGAAAGAGAATCCAGAGGAAAGAGAGGACCTGAGAAGACATTAGAGCCCAGAGGGAGGGCGGAGCTACCTGGGAAGGTGGGCATCCAGGAGGGACAAGTAAAGAACTTATATTTGATAGGGTAGA